AGAGATGAATCACACTGCTGAAGACATTGGCTTTAGGCTGAGAGAGTGAGCGTCTTGCATCTGTTGTGATGAACTGACTACATCATACTAACCTTTCCACCTCGTCTCCATCTTTCACCAATTCTCGATGTCTCCAGTAGTGATTTATCTGTATTCGACTGACTAGCTTGCAGAGCAGGCGTAATATTTCGTCTATATTCCTAGTGTTCGACATGTATACTCATCAACTTGTCGGTATTGTGTACCTTTTATACTATAATCCCATCAAGTATGAAGGGAGGATGTTGATAAGCTGTCTCTTGGAGCACTCATGGCACCCCTGCTTTTCATTGGGGGTATTTATTACCATCTGCATATCATGTACCTTTCTCGCCTATGTTTCAAGAAGTACAGTTCGAGAGACTTAGAGGGAGAACGTAGCTTTACCATCTATTTACGTGTATGAATTTATAAGAGGAGTGAAGGCTCTCTCTACATTCTCCAAATCTGTATTTTTTGTCTGCCTTAGAGTATAACAATATTCAGGTCTAGAGAGATAAAGTGATTTAAAAAGAATCTCATCGTTGGCTTTGCATCTCTTTGGAAAGTTGTAGTTATCTAGGCTACCGTTATTCCTTGTGGTTGTGATAACACTGGTGATCCTTGAATGTGAGATCCTCGCACATTATCACTTCCAAATCCCCCAACAGTTGCCTTATGGTCTCTTGACTGGTTTCCCCTCAAGGAAGGTTCCTTGATGTTGGTGAGGCTCTGATTTAGGAATTGATCTTGTGCTCAGTTGCCAATAAGCCTGAATCTTCACATCCCCCCAGGCGCTGTATAATCCTCGTTAGCGCTTCCCTTGATTAAATTAACGTGAATCTTGACTGGTTTGATTCTTATTCTTCAGTTTTCATTTCTAATTTTTTTCTTTGCAAGTAACTGAAATTTGACCACTGAAAATCATACTTGATGAAATGAGATGAATCTGTATTTATCAGAATTGCATCAGAGGCTTTATCAATACCAAATTCTCAGGACAACTTGAAGACAGTAGGAGACTATGAAGAATGAGTACAGTCTCACTAGGATAGTGCAAGAGCACCGTTCATTTCTCTTGTCGGTATTGTATACCATTCTTGTACGAAAATCATATTGATGTCTATGGTCCACTGGACGACACACGGGAATATGTCGTGTCCTCACTGGATACCAGGGTCTCCGATTTCACTTTGCTTATTACTTTCAGGTTTAATTTGCATAAAAGGCTAAATATCCATCTACCCGCTTTCTACTTATCTCCTTTACACACATTTTATGCGTGATTACTCAATCATACTTGTTAAAAGCCTTTTGCAAAATCAATGTGTCTTCATTTTATTTGTCGCCCAGTGTACTAAAGATCATTTCGTAGCGACCCAGCAATTGTGAGCGGCAGGATTGACCTGCACTAAATCTGTGTTGATCAAATTTGTTTCTTAGGAGTCTTTCAAAGAACTGTAAGAAGCATTATGGTACGTAAATGCTATCGCAAATGCTTTTGCAAATGTTTTACAGCGGGGTTATATATCCGTGATTTTAAAAGACTAAATGAACGAGTTCTTGATATACTACAATAATCACTGGGAATCTGTTTAACATAATTGTTCATTACATCACAGTTTATTCACGTACTGCCCTGGTGAACACCACACATTTTCTGACTGAGCCTCAGGGGCGTTGACACTCGGAACATTCTCCAGGTAGTCTCTCCAGGTAGTCTCTCCAGGTAGAGTCGGGGTTAGCTGCAGTTCTAAGAGAACTCAGAGGCAGTGTTCTATGTAACTCTGGTCGTATATTTAATCTAGGCAGATAAAATTCCCCATAAAACTGCTGGTAAGATCTGCTTTTTTAAATATATATATATATAGCAATAAAATTATATTTGAAAAATATTCACAGTTAAAACTCTGCATCATTTTTGGTTCTGTATGTATGAATATATGTATAATCAAACTAAGCGCTAAACGCAAAGGGTCATACAGAGCTGCAGGGTCATGAGGGGTCATGAACAAGTATGGGGTCAGGAGTGTTTAATAGTAAGGGTTAGCGGGGGTAGTGGTTAAAAAGGTTAAAGGTTAAAATGTAATCAGAGTTGGTGCGATAATTATTGTTATATAGTCAAAGAAAATCTGCGTCCAAGGTGAGACTTTGTGGTGTTAAGTGGATCAGTTATAATCGAGTTCTTGAATTTTATCTGTTAGTATAATTATTATATTCCCGTATTTAAGGGATATTTGGCACCATCTACTATGTCTCTCACTCCTGTAGGAAATTGGTTTCAGATTCGAAATATTCTATCTCTAGCTTTCTAGTAATAAATTAGAATCTTTCACTCCTGCCTTCAAGACGAACCGTCTCTGTATCCTCGTGTTTGTCAGGCCCGGTTCCTGTCTCCTCGTGTTGTCAGACCCGCCTCGTGTCCTCCTAGTATAGTCAGATCCCGCCTTCGTGTTGTCAGACACTACACGTTACCACAACATTCATCTATGGCACTTGCCATTCCTTAAATGTGACCAATGACATAAATTAGAATTAGCTTGAGATTAATTCACACAGCACAGACTACCGTCAATACTATATCTTTTACTATAAAACTTGCCTTTCTGTGGCCGGTTTGGTGAGTTCTGACCTGGCAGCCCAGCCTGGGGTTGTCCCTCACTGTAAACCGACATTACCGCCCTGGTTGGTCCAACTGACACCATCCTTATTCACCCAATTCTGTTCATTTCCGTCACTTAAATGAACGGAAATATTAAAAGTAACACTATCATTGGGATGTTAGGTACGATGATCGCTTTGAGAATGAGATGTCGAGGTTATGACCAAGCAGTCAAGGCGGGACAAAATGTACACTTAAAATTTATCACATATTCGTAGGAAATGTTCACACCTTTGTATCACACAAGTCGACACAGCCCCTGGGATGCGTACTCCACCAGCAGCAAGCTGTGTCGTCTCCCTCCCCTCCCTCCGTCTCTCTCTCTCTCCTTCTCTTTCCCTCTATCATTTCCCCTCTATCTATTTCCCCTCTATCTATTTCCCCTCTATCTATTTCCCCTCTATCTATTTCCCCTCTATCTATTTCCCCTCTATCTATTTCCCTCTATCTCTATCTTCCTTTCTCTCTCTCTCTCTCTCTCATCATCATCATCATCGCCTGGCTGTCTACTTATTCTGATGTTCATAAAGGAGGTAATCCCCTCATTAAACGCACACTGACCCAATGGAACTTGCATACCTGGAGTATACCTGGAAGGGGTTTCGGGGGTCAACGCCCCCGCGGCCCGGTCTGAGACCAAGCCTCAGGCTTTTCCACACTAAGAAACTAAGTTTTCTGTGTCCTCTACTGAGGTGACTGTCTTGCAAATTTTTGTAGCTGCCACAAAGTATGATACAAAGCTCTGGTTTGTGGGTTTATGTCTCTCTGTTATGAGAATGAGAAATAACAGAGGTGCCAGGGCCGGACCTTGAGGTACTGAGATTTAAGACTAGATTTTACATAATTTACTATTCTATTTTTTGTCTACTTTCACAGTTACCATATGCCTCAACGAGGTCCGTTTGGACCAAGCGCTTTAAACCTATTATGACTTATTGTGCAGGTCATGCTTTTCCACCAAAAAATTATTTGATGTCTCACTGCCTTCTCAAAGAATTTCATGCTTTTCAACGGTAGCACAACTGGCACGATTTTTTTTTTTTTTGCTATGACTGTACTGCTTTTGTGCAGAAGACCAATATCTGCATTTTTTATGCCTACGAGATTTCACTAAGCTCTTCCTCCATAGTTTTCTGAGGGATTGTGAGAGCTTATATTAATTTACAGAAATTCCATGAACCTGGTGCTGGAGCTGCATGTGTGGATCACCTCGATTCTTTTCTACCGGAGGACTCAGGTGGGATACTTCCCATGTTCTTTTGTGTGTGGGAAAAAACATGTGATATGAGTGTTTTGGGGTGTCTGTGTAACTGGTTAGTTTATTAAGCTTAAAGACTATCGACTGCACGAAGGTTATTAAGACATGTAATCAACACGCCAGTGTTCAGGCGTCTCGGAAGGCGGACCTTCAAGGGGTTGCTTTTCTTCCTCCAGCATTGCAAATTTATTACCTACAAAACACCAGCGTTATATTTATTTAGTTGTTTGTGCAGAAACATGTCAGTTGTTTGTCTTAATGTCAGACGTAAATTTTTGTTTTCGTTTTGGGCACTGGGCGAAATTATGAGTAGAATGAGCGGCGTGAGGCAGAAACACCACTCACACCCGACCTTTTATTTACGTCCTCATTTTCTGCGCCATTGTCAGCAGTATGTCATTTTGATCTTATAAACAGCGCCATTACCTGGCACACTAATGGTCGCGCTGCGCACTTGTTTCTGGTGCCGCCCGTGTACATTAATTACCTGGCATTGCTTCACCTGGGCTAGGATAAACTATTTATATTTTCTGCAAAAGTTTAGGTGTTAAAATCCCTTGCGTTGGAATAGTGTTATTTATATATAGAGAGAGAGAGAGAGAGAGAGTGTGTGTGTGTGTGTGTGTGTGTGTGTGTGTGTGTGTGTGTGTGTGTGTGTGTGTGTGTGTGTGTGTGTGGTGTTGTGTGTAGGATGAATTGAATTCATTAGCATACAGAAATTGGTCTGATGTGCAGGGGTAAAAAAATTATATATATTCACTTACGAATCACTCTTATAAAACACTGAGCGTGATTACTTTTACGACAGCGAGACGCAATGTTTTGTTGTTGTTGTTTATCCAGGACGGAGATGAAATGATGCTGGGAGGGAAGGGTTCTTGATGCAGGGAACCCGAGCTACCCTTCCCTTGAACGAAACCTGTTTAAATTTCAATGTTCAGGCGCTATGTGATCCCTTCCGCGTTTAGCGCTTCCCTGTAAATGTAGCAAAATAATAATAAAAAAAATAATGAATAGAGTGAATAAGTTGTATTGCTACTATATTTATTGGATTTTTTTTTTAGTTTCAGGTAATGATGATTGTGATGCAGGAGTCATGATGTTGATGGTGCAACTGGTTAATGGCGTCACCTACCTGTGAGACGTGCTATACCTAGGTAAGTGCAACTACTTTCCTGTGAGACGTGCCATAGCAAAGTTCAACTAGTCACTCGCCAGAGATGCCAAAGTGCCACTAGTTACCTGAGAGAGATATCACATAAAAGTTTTCCTTGTATATGAACGGCTGTCAGTAACGGCAAGAGAATTTACGAGGAAAAAAAGGCGAGTAAGTTATTTGAAAGGCTTGAAAACCTTATACCAAATATTATCCTCCTCGGAGATTTCAATCTCCCAATATTACATGGAGAGCGGTAGACAACATCATTGTTGCAGATATATCACCTGCAAGCATGCAAGCACGACAGATTGAAGTGTAAGACAGTATTGTCTACTGACAAATTTCTTTGCCTGCACTGCAGGCTTCATTAGTCGAATATCAGAATGAGTTACAACCCCTGTATGTGATGTGGAAAGGCAGTCTGAGGTAGACAGTCCCTCAGTCCTTGGTGTAAGAGATGGATTATGTTACACCAAGGCTAGGGGACTGATTACCTCATTCTGTCTCCGCTCAAGATGCCTATTGTTGCACATGTGTCTTACTCGTTAACTTGCTGGTATTTTATATTTATAATATGCTGGAACAGAAACATATCAGAGAAGTATTACGACTGTGAAAAACTTGAATCGAGACAATAGAAGACAGAAACTACCAGAAATAAAAATGCATTAAACTTGATCTTCACGAACAATAATGAACTAAGCAGAATATTTACATCAAGTAGAATATACTCCGATCACAACCAGATTGAAACACACAAGATTATGTAGAGAAATAGCTAACGTGAAGGAATGTTCAGTAAATTTAACTTCAGATATTTGAATAAGGAAGCATATACAAGGTCTGTATAAATCATATTGCCCTGAGAAGGTCTTTAATGAGTTCAGATACTGAAAGAGAATGCAGAAGAAAGTACAGAAGAAGAAACATAGCTACGGAATTGCTTCAGATCGAGCACAGATCACGACAAATAACCTACAGCAGAAACTAAATCACCGTACCTGACGGAAGAAGTACAAAAAATTGTCGTTCAGGGATATTAAAGAATTCTAAATATTTCTACACTTACGAAAGATTCCAATAAAAAAAAAAGAACTGGCCTAAAACCCACAGAATAAAAGTAACAAAAGAGTGGAAGAGGCTGCCTGGCCAGGTCAACACCGTTCTCAGCATAAACCAGTTTACGATAATAATTAAAAATCACCCAATAAGTGAACCATTGAAAAGGAGGAATATGATTGGCTGTACAGATAATATTTATGTAACTGTTTTACTCAACTTTTTTTTTTTACTGTTCATGTAATTTTTCATGGTTCTGAATTACTTGATCTTCCGTTTACTGTATATAATAGGCTGAAATAAATCACTTTGACTTTTGTGTATACGATCATTGTCATCGTCCAAAACTGTTAAATTTTATCTATATAAACTTACAAACACCGAGAACGTAAAAAAAAAAAAACGAAATTTTGAAGAGACCCAATAAACAATTTCGAAGTGACCAAACAAAATTCGCCTGGATAAGGATTTAAAAATACTTTTGTTTTGCTACAAGTTGACATATACCAGAGTTCATTATGGGGGGGAGGAGGGGCACCGGCTGAAATTTTTCAAAACAAGGCAAAAATCAACATTCCCTCCCCCCCACCTTGAAATAAGCTGTCAAAAAAATTTACGAATGAAAAGACGCCGCTTTCAAAATATCCACTCCATTTTTTTTTTTTCAGTTTTATAGAGAACACTTGAAAATAATATCCCACATTTTGAGAATTATGAATCTACCTCTACAGTTTATAGAAAATTTTCGAAATACCTGCTAACTTAGAGTTAGCCAGAGGTCAAAGGTCACGTGGCCAAAAATTATATCATTTTGGGGTATTTTTTATAATAGTACACCCACAGAAATGTATTTACACAACAGAAATGCCTTAAAACATAGATTATATCCCTGTTATACATCTGTGGACACTTTGTACAGAAGAAATGTTTATGGAATTGTTAACAAGTGAAAAGTTACGAGGGTTCGTAAATAAGAATAAGGTTACGCATGAAGAAAAAGTCTGGGGCAGTTAAATAAGGGGTCTGGGGCAGTTAAAAAAAAGGTCTGGGGCAGTTAAAAAGGGTCTGGGACCAGTTTTTCGTAAAACTTTCCCAAGTTATGCCAGAACTTATACACAATAACATTATCCATCAATTTACGATAAATGAGACACTTGCGCAACATTTCTCTATCTTCATTGTGGAAGCGTTCGCCAGTTAGTGGCTTCTTCAGTCCAGTACAGAGAAGAACGATGGAAGGTGAGGAGTTTGAGGTAATCAGTCCCTCAGCCTGGAGTAGATGTGTGCAGTCTATCAATCTTTTACCAAGACTGATGGAATGAAAACATCAACTCCAGGCTGAGGGATTGATTCCTTCAAACTCCTCATCTTCCATCGTTCTTCCCTGTACTGGACTGAAGAAGCGACTGGCTGGTGGGACGTTTCCAGAATAAAAGTACACAAATACTGCGCAAGTGTCTCATTTATCAATGTATCGCGTTTCTAAAATCATTTATACAAAATCAGTTTTACGGTTCACACACAGGAAATGTATGAAGCGTTTAAGAGTCGCTTATTACCACACCTTGTAATGTATATCGTTAGTTTGTTAGGTTTCTGTAAACGTGCCATGGTTTTTATTCATGGCACGTCAGACCGCAGGGGCGTTGACCCCGGAAACCTCTCTCCAGGTATATTCCAGGTAACATCAACTACTGTACTATTACAGTAGCCATGATAGTCATAAGCTTTAGTGCACATCAGGTCAGCTTGAATACAGCCACATCTCTTGTCACGACCAAACTTGCACGAACACCTCACTAGCCCTTTGTGTGCCTTTGGAAAACGGGCTAAAATCGTTTGATCTGGTCTCAGTATTATACTCAAGGGTATCTATCCACAGTTTGCTGGACTGAATAGATCTAACACGTGAGTCTATGCTTATTTCCACACCAGGAATTGCTAAGTAACACGCGCAAATTGGATTACTTTTGTAGGGGAGAGGACGTGAAGGGTCATCGTTCCCCGAGCATAAATCATCTGACGTGTCCTGCTGACGGAGTAGCAGTTCTGCAGACAATCAAGAGGGAAACATTTTTATCTGTCACCACATGTGTGGTTAATTCCTTTCACCCTAACACATTCAATGTGTCTGGTTCCCACGTAAATACATTCCAGGCCGTTTTCTTGCCCTTTACTGCAAATTGCCTTGTAGGGAAAAAATAAAATGCCATTTTATGGCATCGGTTCCTCTATTACTCCAGAATAAGACGTGAGAGTAGTGGATCCGGAAATATTTATTACCGCTACCCAAATACGACTCATGTACTGACATAAGCGCAAATCCTTAGAATCAAAATAGGGAAATACACGAATTTCCACCTTACACACTAAACCTCCCATACTAAACCTCCCATACTAAACCTCCCATACTAAACCTCCCATACTAAACCTCCCATACTAAACCTCCCATACTAAACCTCCCACATTTCGCCAAAGGCCTCGTCCTAGAGGTATATAAGCTCGAGCCAGAGAAGCAGGTCAATTGGGAAGCAGGTACACTTGGATGCAGGTACACTTGGATGCAGGTACACTTGGATGCAGGTATATAGGGAACCAGGTGCACATAAACAGGAACAGAGAAGCAGGTACCGTGGGAAGTAGATGGCAGCAGGTATTGGGAAGATTTCTTACAGGGTTTATGAGGCTCCAAGATGAGAAGTTGTTTACAAACTTCTCTCGCACGTGTGTGGGATGTAGGATGCTGCTCCATGACCTAGCACTTGTGTGTGATGTAAGATGTTGCTGTATCACCTAGCACGTATGTGTGATGTAGGGTGCTGCTGCATCATCTAGCACGTATGTGTGATGTAGGGTGCTGCTGCATCATAGCCGTTGGTGTGTAGGGTGCTGTGCATCATCTAGCACGTATGTGTGATGTAGTGCTGCTGCTCTTAGCGTTGTGTGATGTAGGATCCTGATATATCTGCTGCATATAGTAGAGGTTCACAAACTACTATCCTCTCTCTCTCTCTCTCTCTCTCTCTCTCTCTCTCTCTCTCTCTCTCCATCCATGCCTCTCCCTTTCACTCGATTCCTCTCTCCACTCTTTACCTCCCTCCATTCCTCTCTCTCCCTCCCTGCAGGCTTGAAACCTCCTTCCCTCCAGACTTCGAGACTTCCCTTCGTATAAACTCAGAGGTCTTCCCAAGTCTTCGGAAGAGGTTAACATGAGCTCTTTCTCAACTTCTTCCTCCATTATAAAGTTTTTTTCCCTTCTTTTTTGGGGGGGGGGTTTTTTAATTAAAAAATTTGTTTGCCACTTTAAAATTTTTTACCTTTTTTTATCATCCGAAATTTTTTGTTTTTAAACCTTTCAAAACCAACTTTTTTTTGCACTTAGGGCGCTCCCGCCTGGATAGGGTTGCACATTACCAATTTATGTCATCTTCATCACTGGTTTGCCTTGAAGGACTCTGACATCAAGTTGGATGATTTTCCGAACCACAAACATTTCACTTTCCTTTCCTCTTTCAACTTTTTTTTCACATCTCCGCTCAAGTCCTTACCGTTTCTTTTAATTCCTTCCCTAAATGTTTACCCTTTTCACCTCAAAAACTCCAATCCTAAAATTAACCCTTTCCATTTCCCTACAAAAACATCAACTCCTGTTGGGATGTCAAGCCCCTAATTTTATACCAAAGATTCCCCATGCCATTTTTGGGCCCTAACCTTCTTTTCTCCAGATTTATACACCCCTTTTTTCTGTTTTCCCTCCTTTCAATTTACCACCTCTAAAACCCAATACATTGAATAATTTTTTATGTTCCCATTCTCAAAACCCAATTTTGCAAATAAATTTACCCTCATAGGCTTCCAAACAGACATCCCCTTAGCTTCGATCTCTCGTCAACATTAAATTCTTCTTTACCTCATCAGCATGTTTACCCTTCACATAAT